AATTTTTAGATTTCTTTTGTACGAAAGAAAGGCTAATAAAAACAAAATTTAAAGAATGCACTCATGCCATCTAAAATGCATTGTTATGTAAATAATAATAGATGTGATATCGCTAACCAAGAAGTAAAGAGCTTCCATAAATATTTTTACAAAATACATTGCAAATGTAGGACAATCACTTTAGCACAAAGATTATGGTTGATAGTTGATATAGCTTATGATAAGATTATAGCAGACATTGAAGGTTAACGATAAGAATTGAACTGCAAAGAAAACTAAGGTATTCATCGGCATATTTTACTTTCATATATAGTTACGTCATAGTCACAATATTCATTGGAGATACAATTTTTATCTTGTATTGTGAATCTTTTGCTAAGCTAGCCCGCATCACGCTTTACAAGCGTCTAGTTAACCTAAGATGGAAGATTTTACCTTAGGCATGTTCAGAGTATTTATTTTTAGTATATTTCAGTAAAAGATATTGAAATATGTCAAAAAATCCATCATAATTAGTCTTTGAAGTTTCGGACATTTTGCTGGTGGTATTGACATATCCACCAGAACGCTTTCGGCATACATTTCTCACTATAGCGCGTCATGTTTGATTGTCAATAATTCCGAAACGAAAGGCTCTATAACGTTGAAACTTTACCAGTTTATGTAGTTTTAACAGCTTTACAATATTATAAAGGTTGTATTTTATTACGATGCGAATTTAAGTTCTTGAAAATGATAATCCCTTAGGTGAAATAAAAGAATCACCGACACTTCGCAAACTGTCTGATTTTCACGATGTTGTTTAATACTTAACCTTTAAATTACTTCAATTAGAATAAGTCTATCCATATTTTTACTTTGTTTCACATAAAGACTATCAGAGTGAACGATTTGAGTCACGTCTCACGTCTGCATTCCTTGCGTGATGTTTACAGTGTAGATTTGTCATCTAGTTCCTTCAAAAGCTGCTAAATATTGCATGAAAAGTAATCAAGTTAGTTTTAGTTTTTTTGATCACTCAGTAAGCAATGTCTGATGTTTATAGACCCTCTGTTTTGCAAAAGCACATTTACATAGATAGACTTAAGTGTACGCAAAAAAACTAGCTATATCAAGCGCCCGGGGGGGGACTCCCTAATATCAAAGGGCGGGGGTCCTCGGCGGAGATTGTGAAAATGAACCCTAAAAGGGACCTCTATTGTGAGATGATGGGCGTGGCAGTCCTGAAATTTCAACCCTAAAAGGGACCAATCAATAACAGGTCGTTTTGTTTTGGTTTACCGATTTTATTTGTGTTTTTACACAATCATCGAACACCTTCGGCTCGTATTGAGTTTATGACAACGTTGCCATTTTATGACTGCTTAGGGTCGCCGTATACCCTAAAAGGGACCACAAAACACAGTTGGTAGGAATTCTTGTCATGATCACCATGATGAGCTTAGGCTCGAAAACTTTTGCCCCACTAATTGGCTGAGGGTAACTTCAAGTTACCCTCAGCTAATTAACACTATGTAATATGATACCTTCGGTATGCGGATTACAAGGGCTAGGCGCTATAAGTACTAAAAGCTAGTGCTACAGTACTAAACAAACATGCTGTAGTTCTGGCTCATACCAAAAAAAACTAACCCGAACAACTGATATTTAATAAGCGGCAACCTTCGCTCGAGTCGATCGGAAAGTTTTTTCAAAGGTCAATCACGAAATTACCGACCATAAATGACTGCACCCAGAAAGGTACTAGTGAGATATTACGGATAAAAACAGCTCTAGAATTATTTGTTCGCGGATTGATTACTGATAAACTTTTACTACGCTGTAGGTGTTTCTTCTTTCGAAATTTTTTTAGCTATAAACAGCCTTTACGCGACATTGAAGAGCGCTGTTAGAATCTCCAAAAATTCCTGCCGAATAGAATTTTACAAGATGTACATGAAGCTTCAATAGTCATAAGGTTAAATAAAATATTTTTTATGCATTTTTATGCATCAAAAACTGCCATTCAAAAATCTAAAAATATACACTGACTATGATGTGGTTGATATATGAACTCCCCGTACTGATTGGATCAATCAAAGAGAAATTGTGTTAATTGGCTTATGAACAGCACCTTTTAGATGCCTGCTGAGAAATCTTTTAGCTCTAAAGCTCATCATGCTAAGCGGGACCAAAATACTGATTTCAAACCCTAAAAGGGACGCGGAGGACCACCGCCCTTTGATATTAGGGAGTACACCCCCGGGATCAAGCGTCTCCATCATACTATATCGATACTATACGACTATTTAACCCTCTTTGACAGCATTTCTATAGCACCTTAGAAGTGGTTCAATAATTTATAAGGCTCAATGTGACCAATTTTCTTGGGTGTCCGCAATGACAGTGTTTTGAAAGAAAAGGCTTAAAAGTGATATTTTACATAGTTCAAATAATCGATTAACGATGAGATAGCGACAAAATGATCAAATCACATAATCCAAGATCTTCTCTCAATCAGCGAACATTTCTGTTAATTTCAGGTTATTTGGATATTAGATATCTCAAGATGTCCAAACTCAGCTATGAGCATAACCCCCTTAAGAGTCAATACGACGGTCGACTCTGGTACCAATTACTTGATTCCAAGGCTGAGCAGTATCCCGACATTGAAGCAGTTATCATGTATGACATGGACTTGAATAGATCGGTCATGACATTTGCTGAATACCGAGACAGGTGAGCCGTAGTACTGCAATGATATCCATAGCAGTTCATGATAAAGCACTTAGGGTTTACGTGAGATTGCATTGTGCCAACGTGAACTCAAATTTTTAAAAGCATTTACAATATGCGCAGAAAAAATACCCAACTCTGTGGCGTATATATAGTAACACTGGGAGAGTATAAACAATGATTATATTTTTTAGATGATTTTTTTAGGTGTTCTTAGAGAGAATTTTATATGTAAGCAAGTAACAAATGTTTACTTTTACAACAACTATTTTGACATTAAAGGTTGAAAATAGTGTCTGTCTTCGGTCGCATAACCTTGAGGGCACTAACACACTAACGCACTAACAAAATCTAAATTCCTCATGATTGTAAACTGCACGGGGTAAAGCGACTTCAATAGCAGTCTGTCCAAGTCCCTCACTATGTAATCCAGATGTAATTCAGATCATTGGTCTGCAAAATCTGGAAAGTCGGCTACACATATCTCTATCTCTATCTCTAAATTTAAATGCCTATAGATAGTGAAAAGGTAGAAAAAAATAAGCATTATAGCTCATAGTACATAAAAGAAAAAATTATCATTTTTGGTCTCTTAATACACAGTGAACACAAAATAATCTATTCTTCTAAGAGTTGTTTATCTAAGAAAAAATGTGACAGATCACTTATCTTGAAACACTCCATGCTCACACACAGGGAACCCAAGAACATATATCGAAGTTGTGAGCCGGATGAGATCGAAAGTTACGTATTTTTATCAGGAAAAGAAGACTTGGATGACATTCAAGTGAGGAAATGACTTCCTAAGTACTAGATTTACTTTGCCCGTATCCCACAGGCTGGATTTTATTGGCAATTTTAATTAAAATTATCCACACCTTGGGGACAGCATAACATGGAAAATGCGTCTAATCCCCACCCCTTGCAGGCTTAACATTGAAAGGTGCATAAAAAATGGGCTCCTGATTTCAGAGTACTAAATTCTCATAACTTTTTTTTTCTTTTGTATAACGTTCTTTTGTATAAATAAGTTTCGAACAGTTGTTCGCATGTTAATAAAATATATTTACATTACTTGAAACAGCCTACCTCTACTATACTACTCTGCTAGAAATATATATAGATATGAGTCATTCTCTTCTATATTACTATTAGTTGTTTCCTAACTTGTGTTAGTTTGAATAAGATACACTCGCTCTCTCCCATGGTCATCATAGTACGCACGGCCTCTTATAGTGAATATACTCCATCTTTAGCGCAGGCGACAGCACATTGTGTTTGTCATTGCAGCTATATATCTAGAATAATAGTGTCTTTTTTAAACTGTAACAAATTTTAACTACTTTGCATTCTTCATACAATTTGTAAGTTCCCTTCAATGATCACTTTAAACAGGTCAATCCTCTTGGCAACATCTCTTCTCAACGTTGGATTGTCACGTGGCCAACGCGTGCTGATGATAGGTCGAACTAGTCTACCCTTTATGGTATTTTCCATGGCTTTAAACCGCATCGGTTGTAACGAGATTTTGCTGGGGCCAGGAATGCTTACACCAGACAAAGTAGAATTGCTCAAGACCATCAACTGTCAACTCATAGCTTACGACTCGAGGATGAATGAATTCCAGAAGAAACAGTTGTTAGAAGGAATCAAACAGCTAACTCAACACAATGTTGATAACCAAATTAAAAAGCAAGTTTTGGTTTCTTTAAGCTCCGTGACCGAGGAAGTATTGAATGATGAGTACCATTCGTACGAGAGCCTCCTTGTAGGTGGTCAGTCCCAAAGTCTGCAGAAACTACAAGACGCTCAAAACGAAGTTCAATTTGATGACCCTATCGTTACCATGATCACTTCTGGCAGTACCGGCGTACCAAAAATAGTACAGTATACCTCGCACTCAATCCTGAACTATTATGCTGGCTCTCCTTTCTTTTTAGCTCATATACCACGAGAAACTATGTATATAGATCGGCCATTTTCCTGGGCTGCTGGCTATATTTTTTGTCAATCAGTTCTATGCTCTAATACAACACTAGTGTGGGTGCCAACCGAAAGAGCTGTTTCCGAGACAAGTGGAAATTCTGTTTTTGAGATATGGGAGAAAGAAAAATGCACTTTTTGTTCACTTAGCATTTCTTTGATCTACAAATTGTTTGCTGACAAGTTGTATTTGCAATACAACCTAAGCCAAATTAAGTGCTTTACTCTAACGGGGCAACGTTTTAGTCTCGAACATTTCGCAAAAGTATTCGAAATGTTTCCTAATGCAGACGTTATGCTACTCTATGGGTGCACAGAGTGCCCTAAGATTGCACAAGAGATTTTTGGAAAGGGTTGGCTAGTAGAGGGAAAGTTAGGCAAATTGTCTCTATCTTCTGGATCGGAAATAAAGGTTGTTGACACGAAGGAAAAAATTGTTCCCAGGGGAATGTCAGGAGAAATCTGTGTTCGAAACTCTACAGTGTTTTTGGAGTACTTAGACAACCCTGAAGCGACAAAGCAGAACAAATCTCCGACCGGTTGGTTTCACACTGGCGATATCGGTATCATGTACGACGATGGCAAGATCGAGGTGCTCGGAAGGGAAAAAGAAATAATCAAAGGAGCCTATGATAAGGTTTTTCCTGCTGAAATCGAGAAAGTGCTGCTAAAACATCCATCGGTCGCCGATGTTTGTGTTGTAGGTGTCCCTGATCACCGGCTGCACGAGGAAATATGCGCATGCGTGGTGCTTAAAGAGACGGAGGAGCAGTCATGTGACGAGAAAATAAAAAAAGAGCTACAGGATTGGTGCAAAGAACAATGGCCACCTGGACCAGATGGAATGAGTTTAACTCCAAAGTATTTTCTTGCAATGAAATCATTTCCTTTCACGGCGACAGGGAAGGTTTTCAGAAGAGAAATAAAGGCTGAAGCAATAAAATGTCTTAGTCTGTAATGAATAATATATTGGACAATAACATGAATATGTATTATCTATTAATGTATACAATATCACCATTACTGTTATTCTAAACTGCCGGTAAGATAAAAATCATATCTCCAAGCGATCATGAAATATTCTGTCTATCATATGATTATATGTGAATGTAAATTATGGCGTAGAATACCTTTTTTTGCTTCTAATCAGTATCTAATATATATGGAAAGCAAGAATGCGTTACTTTCACTAGTTTGTTTATTAATTAAAAATGCTGATCACTCTCAATTGTTTCAGTGGTTGGTTGGTTGTTTTTTCACTTTTATTTTTATGTACGACGGTCACGGAAGTCTACCTACGGAAGTCTAAGCTAGGAAAAATATCAGATGAAGGTAATATTTTGTATAAAAATAAATATGCAGCTCTAGGATTTGGATATCTGAGGAAACTCCTAGGACTTGGATATGCAAACCCTAGGAGATGAATTCATTTACATGCGGTGTTGGATCAAGGTATCCAAATGCATACACGTGACCCTAAATAGATCAAATGATTGGAGAGTCAAGTCATGAATTATTAATGAGTTTGAGAAGCTACTTTGAAAAACATGTTTTTCAGAATACGTTAGGCTTTTGAAACAAAGCAATTTGTGAAATGCTATTGACCATATGAAAAACGAACAGAAGACTGGGAATGAGCACCTTAAACGGTCCATGTTTTAAAACTCTGTTTTCACTATAAGAAAGAGTACATTTAAACTAGAGAATTGGCTAATGTCAATTCAGAGTTTTATGATCAATCACCAAATTACATAATTATTCAAGTAGCAATTAAGGCTTTCTCAGCAAGCACGACATTAGCTTTGAAGTCTTCACTTGTCCACTTCATCTTTTTCCCGAAATAACCAAAGACACACTAGTTAATGCGGGGTTGCAGATTCAGAAGACACAATCATCATCCTTTTTGGCGCGTATTTACTTTACCATTTTAACTATTGGATACCATCCTCTAAGGAGACATACACTATTTATAGGCATCTTTTCTACAACAAGGCATGATGGGAGTTGCAGTCCTACAGGATACAGTCCTATAGATATACTTTATAAATTCGATAAAATAGTCCCGTAAATCCATAAATAATATGTCCGTTGATGTGTTCATTCATTATACAAAACTACCTAATCACTTATTTTCACCTTGCTGTTTTGTGGAAAATATTTTGGTGACGTCATCAAATTAGAATAAACCCTCATTTTCTCTGAAATTTGAAGGCTGTGCGACTATTCTGTTTATATTGATTAATTGTTTCGAGCAAAAAAATTCAATTAATATACACTTTAAGTAGGATCCAGTCCTAAGTGTATAATACTTCAATTAAGTAAATCCTTTTTGACATACCAGGTTTCCATGGTGATATAGCAATAGGTGTATTTGCCAGCGCCAAAGCCATTAAAGTTATTCGCCACTGAATTTGAATATGCTCCAAAGTCCAGTCACCAGTCACCTACATATAGCTATAGAAAAACGACAGGGTAGTAATTGTTAATTTTTCAGAAATGTTTCTTTTAAGTGATTATATGAGAAGACAACATATCAAAGAATTGTCCCATAAAAGTTGTCCTTCGTTTAGCAGCCATATATGGAAATCGTCTGAAACCTGAAGATTTTATAGCGAAAACAAATCTCAACAATTAACCATTTTGTTTGTCTCCATATATGGCATGGATTCGCTAAAGGAAGCCCAAAACTAAAAAGTACAGGGATGCCGCACGGATGACAATTCCCGAACAATTCAACATCGAAAAATATTAAAAAACTCAAAGCAACTTCGAATGTCGTCTTTTTTTATTTATCCTTGGCATTTTCGTTTGAAAATTAATAAGTTGATGAAACAAGACAAATTTCCGCGAATATTTCCCATCATTTTTGTCGTCTGGGACCCGTTTTCAAATTTGCTGGATCTAGAGATGCATACGACGTAAGCCGGAAATGAATTGAAAGCAATAGAAAACAAAGGAATGAAAACGAAGCCTAAGGTCCCTGAAGGAGTAATGATGGAAGATATCAAGGGATTCCATTCACCTGGATTCAAGAAAAATTGCTTGTCTCTAGGAAAAAAAATCATTTTCTTGCTTCTTGTTAAATTCAAAAAGAATATTTTTCAATTCCTAAATTACTTCCGGTTTATGTTGTAAACATGTATCCACCCTTGACCTTTCAAGATGGCGTTAGGAAGTTTGAAAAAGACTTTTTCATAATTCATTACCTTGGGTGAGTGGCATTCCTTGTTAACAAGTCAATGCTTTCTAAATATTGGCCCCAGATGCATGTTGGCTAAACCTCATCCGAGATCGTTTTAAGTGGAATTGGTTTGAAGTTTAAATTTGGAGACAATAGCAATTCTGGGAAAGACCCGTACACTCCATCATCGATAAAATACACGAATCCCTGCCATTAAGTAATGTATACAGAACGAGAGAGCGTGTTGTATCGGTGATAAAGATCCGAGCCGAAGCCGAAGGATGTATACGGCTTATCAAACTTTATAATAATTCTCATTTTACACCCGATTTCAAATGAGGGCGAACTCTCGAATTTTTTTTGAACGCTAAACTTTCACTCGACCGTCATTCACTCGACCGCTTGGTAACTCTCGAATTTTTTTTGAACGCTAAACTTTCACTCGACCGTCATTCACTCGACCGCTTGGTAACCAGGCACACGTGTTTAGTAAGTGATGTGTGACTTTCTGTAGCGGGACTTTCGCATTTAGAATTATGGAGGAAGAAGCGGTGGTCTTTGTTCGAGATTCCTGTGGTCCTTGTGTTTCACAGAACATTCTACTTCACTCAATGCAATTGAGAACAATTCGAAGAATATCAACTAAACTTGATTAAAAAATATAATTTTCTATCTGGTTTGTAGTTTAAATTTGGCTTTATTAACTTGTAAACATCAAATGCATGCAAATAATACTTTGCACAATTAGGWATAGCTTTGCAAGAACCATGAACTTGAGGGTGTTGTTTTCTGCATCTTGAAAAGATATTCTTATGTTGAACTAAAACACACATTTTTTCTTTTCTTTCGTTATGTAAACAATTTAAGTTTACAATAAGCAAGCGAAAAAATAATTGCAAAACTGTTGTTTGAATTAAAGGTTGAAAGCGAAGTAACTTATGTTTAAATGTAACTTTCTTTCGAAGAAGTAAATATATTCTTATTCGTATTACTGTAAAAACCCTGATTGATTGAATACAAGTTTACAATGACACTTACATGTGAGAAGTCGAGGCCTTCCTGCACGCCGTGTATGTACAGCAACATAGTTGTCGAATTTTACAAACAAAAGTTTTCCCTACAAATAACGCTCTACAAGTTTTCTTAATGCTTGAACCGTAAATAAGTTCATATGGTAAATAACCCTCCACCGAATATCGTCCGATAACCTCTTCATTTTAATCAGTAAACTAGTAAAATCAACAAAGAACAGCCAACGAACACTAAAAGCGATTTAAAGTGCGCGCTTTTCAGTGTTTGTCACGCTATTTATTTTTCAACTGTTTCGCTGCAATTGTGAGCTGAGAAAGTTAAGTAAACCGAAACTAGTTTTTGCAATAAGTTCGTTTTGTAGTGCGATCACAAACCGTAGGAATTTAGCCCACAGACATACATTAACCATGGTTTTTATACTTGGATAATTTTACTTGGATAATTTAACCCGCTTCAAGCTGTGCCAGGTTACCAAGTGGTCGAGTGAATGACGGTCGAGTGAAAGTTCAGCGTCCGAAAAAAAATTAGAGAGTTCGCACTCATTTGAAATCGGGTGTAATGTTTTTGATAAATTGAATATCTTGCTGCATTTCATCGATTAAAATTATCAACGTATGTCGCCGTTATTAAATATTCGTCAAATATAACTGTTTGTATGGCATCATTGTTTCATGAAACGACTGAACTGTCAAGAGAATTTCTAAATGATTAATTGAAAGTGGAATGTCACATTAGAAGCTTTTTATACTTACTCCTGAAAATTGTTTATTTTCCTATTGTTTTTTAAAGAATGTGCTTGCCAAACTATARAAAATTAGAATTGTCAAAGGAATTGCAAGATATTAGGCATTCATAGTTAGCAAGATTAAATCAGTTGGCTTCCATTTCTCCCTCGAAGACATGTCGAGTCGATTTATGAGACATAAAACTCAACGTAAAGGAAAGCGCTATTGTTTCGGTGGAGTGTTCCACAAAGTATTCAACAAAATGGTCCGCAACCTTATTTTGCGACCGGCAAAAGGACCGTGCGAACAAGAAAGCCATAAATGGGAGCACCAGTTTCAGTTTCAAAAACAGCTAGTCATTCCAGGATATGCTGACGCTGGTCTTGATGACATGAACGCCGAGTCCTTTACTTTTTTGGATGGTCAAATTCATACAAGACGAGGCACCAAGAAAAACAGAGAAGCTTATCCGACGATCGAGTAAATCACAAGGAAACGAATTCGAAACATCGACTACAATATTGATTTTTCAGTGTGTTTTAATTGTGTTTGATTGCACGCGAGTTTAGACATTTTGAATATTTTCAGGGGAGTGCGRGGCTGATTATTACTCAACGTTTTCCTGATACAGACCTCATTAATAAAACATTAGTTCTGCATCGGTGATACAGAACTAATGTTTTATTAATTAGGTCTGTGTTCTTGGGCGTGCAAGTTACGTCATCGCCGCCATGTTGGATGAAGATCACAAAGCATTCCTCATTAGTTTCTCTTGTTCATTCATCCAACATGGCGGCGATAGCTTTGTTCATTATTTCTCAGGGGATTCTTGGTCACATGGTTGCACACCAAGAATCAGGAAAACGTTGAATGATAATCAGCCCCGCACTCCCCTGAAAATATTCAAAGCCGCCCCCAACTTTGAGCTTGGTGCACCTTTTACCCAGTATAAAGGTATAATCACGTGATTAGATTCTCAGTATATAATTGGCTAATGACATTATGAATTATTAATGAGTT